AATAATAATAATAATTAAACAACAACGATAAATAATAATAATAATAATAATTACTTAAATAAAACTAATAATTTACACGTGAATCAATTAATATTATAATAATGTTCGTGTATTGTTTTTTCTTTTTCTTTATTATTTGTAGGTAACAATATTATTAATAATAGTAATAATAATAATAATAATAATAATAATAATAATAATAATAATAATAATAATAATATTCAATGCCGTGAATAACTATAACAATTATTATTACAATGACGATGATAAATTTGCAACAATAATAATAATATTATCATTTAAAAAAAAAAAAAACAAACGAAAATTTTGCAAAAAAGCAAACTAATTATTATTATTATTATTATTATCGTTTAACGTAACTAAATATTCTAAATATATATTTAAAAAAAAAAAAAAAAAAAAACAGGCACAAAAATGCAAACGATAAATTAAAAATCGAATATTTATACAATCAATCAATCAATCATTCGTTTTACGTAAATACGACGAAGATTTTTTGTATGATTTTTTTTTTTATATGTACAACATTTGAACGTTGAGGAAGACTCATTTTACGAGAGAGAGAGAGAGAGAGAGAGATACACTGACAATAATAATAATAATAATAATAATAATAATAATAATAATAATAATAATAATAATAAATCGGATGGAGAAACGTTTTTTTTTTTTTAATATAAAATTTAAAATCAAAAATGAAAAAAAAAACATTCGTCCGTCATTAACCATTTCACGAACAATAAAATCTTTATTGTTTTATTATTATTATCATCATCGCGAATGACGTAATGGAAAAAAGAAAAAAATGGCGACAATTTATTATTATTATTATTATTATTATTATTATTATTATTATACGGTTGAAAATCAATCATTCGTTCAAAGCCCCGAATAAAATTTTCTTCTAAAATAAAAAAAAAAAAAAAATTTAATAATAATAATAATGATAATAATAACGATGATAATTTTCTTCTCCCTCACGAACGTTTCTTCTCTCTCTCTCGCTTACATTTAATGTAACGCAAAAAAAAAAAAAAAACGCGGCAAACACCCTCATTTTTTTTAAAAACAAAATGAGGGCATTGCACTATTTTAATAAAAAAAAAAAACGCGCGCGTAAAATTTCAAAAAAAAAAAAAAAAAATGTCGCTAACTTTTTTTTTTTTTTTTTTTTTTGGCATTCGATTTATTTAAATTATACAACCCCTACAATTCTAAAAAATCTATTTTTTCGAACAAACAAACAAACAAACAAAAAACCGTTTACAACCCTACAATTATTATTATTATTGTTATTATTATTAGAACCAAAGTTATTAACTTTCCCAAAATGAAAAAAAAAAAAAAAAACCGTTAATATAAACTTTCACTGCAAATTCACGTATAACAACAAAACTACTGCAAATTTTCAACGGGGGGGGGTACAAGGAGGGAGGAGGTAAAGGGGGAGGGGGAGGGGTAAAAAAGGGGGAAATTAAAAAACGGTTTGATTGTAACTAACAAGCTGCAAAAAAAATTACAATTTTTTTTCTTAAAACTTTTTAAAAAAACGCATAACATTTAACGCGAGCAATAAAATCTAACACACTCTACAATTTAATCATTATTATTATTATAATTCGACGACGACGACGCATCCCTGCAAAATTTACACGTACATTTACACGTGCGTACGAATATATATATTTATATGCGTCACAAAAAGGAGAGACCGTAATTTGTTTTTACGTAATAAAAATTTATTTATTTGTTTTATTATGATCCAAACGAATATTATTTACGTTTGGAAAAAAATAAATAAATAAATAAAAATTGATTTTTTTGGCTTTTACATAACAATTACCGGAATATGAGAAATATTTATTTTAAAGAGTTCGATGACATTTTTTTTTGTGTGTGAAAATGCTGACAACAACAACAACAAATTCCCGTTTAAATTTTTAAATCGACAGTTACAAACAAACGCAAACAAACAAACAACAAACGCATAATAACGCACGTGTACGCGTGTGTGTAAATAAATGGATGCATCGTCTACGTCTATTTCTATATTAAAAACCATGCAAAAAAAAAAAAAAAAAAAAAAAACAATTTTTCATCCCTACTTAAAAATATATTCAAATCAAAACCCAAGAAACTTTTCAAGGCACCTACAGTTTTTGATGTTTTCAGTCTAACTTTATTTTATTATTATTATTATTATTATTATTATTATTATTATTATTATTATTATTTTTCCTCTTTTCGATTTATAACATTAAATGATTTTTTTGTTTGCATAAAAACGCGCTTTCTCACAATCGAATCATTTTTTTATCATTATTATTATTATTATTATTATTATTAACTTTTATTCTTCGTTAACAGTATCAGTTTCACCAATATCATTATCATTATCATTATCATTATTATTGTTAGACGAAAAAAAAAAAAAAAAAAAAAAAGTTTACCCTGTACAAAGAAAAAATAAACGATGACGATGACGATGACGATGACGACGACGATGACGTAAATGATGACAACTTCCGCATCCGGTCCCGATTATTATTTACATCCATCAAAACAGTATAACAATAATAATAATAATAATAATAGTATCAACAACAACAACAATAACAACAACATAATAGAATCATAGTTTTTCTTTTCTTCTTCTTCTTCCTCTTCTACTTCATCTTTATCTCAACGTTTTCCCATTTTCTTCTCTCTCTCTCTCTCTCTCTTTCTTCATCCATTCATCCATTCATTTACCATTCGTTTATCTTCGATTGTTTTTTTTTATTTCATTTTCTTTTCTTTTCTTTTTTACTTTCTTTTTTTTCGTTTTTAATCAGGCCGATAAATTGGTAATTTAGGTATAAATTCAATTAGGAGAACCTTAAAAAAAAAAAAACCAAAACGATAAAACATTACAAATTTCTTAAAATCATTTTATAAAATCACATGAGGAACTTACATATTCCATCATTGATGATGAATCGCATCTTTGTTTAGCCAACCTCCAATGAAGTCCTAATTTATGATACAAATGATTATTTTCCCATTCTAATAATTTATCTAAAGAGTGTTGAGTCTGAAAACAAACAAACAAACAAAAACAAAATGGTGGAGGTTTAAATTTAACACTCGAATATTGTGTCACAAAATTTAAATTAAATAAATAATTTTCAATTGTAATATTTATCATCATCATCATCATCATCATCATTGTTTCTCATTATTCTGTGATTCATTAAATGACTAACAAACTAACATGCACATATCAAATTACATAGGCTCAAATTGAAAATTAATTTATTATTATTATTATTTATATTTTTTGGCCGATAATTTATTATGAGGATTTAATTGAGGATATATTTAAATAAATACTCACTCTTTTGCTAAGACATATAACAGGCCATAGAGAACAACCTAATGTACAACAACAGCAAATGCAACCGCAAAATAACCATTTAACATTTACTGGAAGTGTTTTTTTAAGAATACTATTTATTCTCATTATGGTAGCTTGAAATTCTTCAGGTGCCACCCTCGATACTAAACCAGTAGGAAATTCTGAATCGAATCTATTGCTTAACCCAAATCTAAAAAACAAAATCAATCAAACTTGATTAGAAATTTTTATTTTCATTTCGACAAATTTAAGTAAATCAATTTTTAAAAGAAAAATTTAAATGGTAGTTATTCTCAATTAAAAATAAAATAAAAACAATTAAATTAAAATTTAAAATGGAAAAAGTTAATGTCAATTGAATTATAGATAGAAATTTACATGATAAAAATATAAATGTAAGCAATAGTTTTAGTGACCTTTTTTTTTTTTTCATAAAAAAATTTAAGTTGCATTTCATAAATAATGAATTGTTGATTGCCTATACAAAATCCTTTGTCATTCTTAAATTTTTTAATTTTTTTCAAATAAAAAAATGCTCACTATCGAAATAATAACTAAACTCACACAGTCATGTTTCCAGCCCCCCTCACGACAACGGGATCAGGTACCATTTTAACGTAGGGATCATCCATCGGCTCATCATTTTCTTCTTCTTCCTCATATATAGCATCAAAATCCGCCATTTTGTTTCTTAATCCAAAACACTTAAACGTACAATTGAGTACTTTGCTCTTTTTAAAAGAATCTAAAACCACGACAAATCCACCGCCTTTTAAATTAATTTTTCGAATCGGATCCTCAATTTTTAAAACTTTTGTATTAAATTTAAACGGGGGGGGGGGGAATTAAACTTTACGATAAAATGTGTTGGAATAATTTAAGGTACGATATTTTCAAACGTTAAATAATAATTTTTAGTTAAAAAATTTTAATTTATTTCTTAATTAAGTTTTTTAATCGAATTAAGTCACCATTTTTTAGTAAAAACTCTTCGAAAACATTTTCAAATATTATCCTTTCTAATATTTTTCTTTTTGCATTTTGTTTATTTTTTTCAACATGAGGAAATTTTACTTTTGCTCTCAGTGACAATAACATACTCGGAACCATAAATTGATTTTCATATACTTTCCTCCTTAAATTATTGTTGACTCTGGTGAATATTTCCACTAAATCAGCCACATCGCCAAATCTCCACAATTCATTACAAAATTCTTGTATGTACCATGATCCATTATATTTATCTCTAAATGAGGCAAAACCTTGAACCGTAGACCAAGCAATAAGGGAATCCCCTCTTTGTGGTCCCATAAAAATTTCTTCTTTTTGTTTAGATGCAATGATTCCATCTCTCAAAATGTTTCCATTTTCATTTTCCATACACATTTTTTGCCATTTTTCTCCCTGACATGATTGCACAATAAATATTTTAGGTTTTCCAATTAAATTGGGACAAATCTCTGCTTGAAATACCATTTCGATTGTGTTCATGTCTACCGCTTGCGAATCTGACGTGTAAATAACATTTTCACTACCATGTGATAAAATAATTAAAATAAATGCAGAATGATTTTTATCAATAGCTCTTGTATAAAATTCTAATGTCGTTATTAATTCATCAAATGTTAAATCGTAATGTATTCTAATATCAAATCCATAATTGCTAAAAACTTCGACTAGTCTTTCAACATCTTTTTCAGTTCCCCACCTTGTGTCAAATTTTGAATCTGTAAAAACTTTTTCATTAATTATAACACAATATCCCAAATTGTTTTTTTTAATTATGGGATAACATTCTGAATGTTGAAAATCAGACTTTATAACTATACTATTTCGTATCAGGTTTATATTACTTTGCTCGACTATAATTTCAATGCCGGGTACATAATTTGAAAAATTAATCGATTTTAAAACTTTTATTAAAGCATCCAAATTAATATTCTCATCTGGATTTAAATTAATCACTCGATATTTGCTCCAAAGTAAAAATTTATATTCCAAATACTTGAATCCCTTTTCGTCATCATCATTATGATAATCGATTTCATTTTTTAAATCCATAGCTTCGATTAATCTGCGAGTGTCTTCTTTATCGAGATCTTCACAAATGTTATATAATAATTTTCTTATATTCGAGACAGAATCAGCTTTTAGATTGTTCTTGGGTAAAAATTTTTTTTTCATTTCATTTTTATCATATCCTAATAATTTAATCGATTGATAATGTTGAATTATGGTCAAAAATTCAGAGAATAAAATTTTCCAAGAATCATTTTGGAAAATATTTTGTTCCATGAGCCAATTAAAAAATAAATTATTTCTAGATGAATGAGAAGTTTCTTTGAAAAGGAGTTTCATTGTAATTAACGCATATTCCGGTGATTTGCACATTAAAAATATCAATGAGATTTGATCCCATAGTTTTAAACGGTTTGTTATTTCAGATAACGTTGATCTTAACTCGTAATCCTTTTCCCAACCTTCTTTCAAAAACGGATTATCCATAATGGGAAACTCGATGGAAAAAATTAAACGATTCAACGGTTTTTCGAATCGGTACAATGAAATATTAACGGCTATTCATTTTTTACCACGCTTATTTAATTTGAAATTCCTGACTGGAAGCATACCTTAGTTTAATAAATTAAAATTCAACAAACGAGAAATAAAGTTTGACATTTAAAACTACTTTACTTTTGTGATAGTACATCACAGTTACTTTACGATTGACGTGGAAATAAAATCAAGTGTTTTCAATTTTCCTAATGACACGATATTTTAAATTAAGTAGTCAGAATTTTTTAACGGTTATTGAAATGAATCAATGTGTTTAGTTTATTTTTTTTGTGTAAAATCATTTTTTAAAATCAGTTAATATTTTATAAATAATTTTTGAATAGGTATAATTTATATATAATTTTTATTTTTTTATGTTTTTTGAAATATTACCCGGAATCAGTTACAACTTCTGAAAATTGTTGAGTGACGCTATTTTTTTTTTTTTTTGGAGGGATTCGTTTTTGATGCACCCGGATAATTTGTTTACATTATAAATAATTTTAATAAAATTTGCTTTAAAATGAAACGTTTGATTGTGTACGATTGTGTTATTTTTCATAAAATAATGATTTTTATTTACTGTAGCTGGATTTGTCCTTGTTAAAATTTGTAAGCCTAATTTAATTTTATTTATTTTAATTTTTAGGCTAAATAATCTGAAATAAAAAATTGAAAATAAAAATGTCCAGATCAAAATTTTATGGAATCAATCAAGATGTTGTGCTACCTGATTTTTCTGATGATGATAATACAACCACCACCACAAACACAAAATCGAGAAGAGTCAGTTTTGGTACCAATTTTGTTAAGGAATTTATTGTCGGATCTGCTGTTTCAGCCCAGTGTGTTTTAGAATATGAACAAAATTTTTCATCATCTGATTCTTCGAATGCTCATTCAAGTCATTCAACAATCGAAAGTAAAATATTGGGACAAAATACATTTTCAATAGAAGATAATCATTTAAGTAATTTTACTGCAGGAGTTGGTTGTGAGCCGATGAGTATGGAAAATTCTAACAAAAGTTTCGGTCCCAGGTTTTCCAGAACGGTTTGTTTTAATGCAGACTCGCCAACTGCTGAAATGGAATTTACAGGAGGGTGTTTAACACTTGCCAAAAGTATATTGGAAAAAAAAAATAAGGAAATGACTGTTATTATTGAAGCGAAGACTAAAAGTCAAAAAGACGAAGTGATAAGCATTAACGAAACAAAATATTTTGATGGCACTCAATTTGACATGAGTATGACTCATTGTTTTAAATCAAAAGACAATAGAAAAGATGGTAAAAAATTTGACGATGAAAAAACAAGAGTCTTTAGCGAGTTTGATAACGAAATGAGCATCACCAGATGCAGCAAAATATTCAATGTGAGAAATTCAAAAATTTTCAACTCAAATGATAATAACGAGAGTAATAGTTTAGATGATTCTTGTAAGGAAAATAGAATACCACTCGACATGATCATGAAACATTTAGATCAAGATAGTTCTGATTTGGAAAATTCTTTGTTCAATCCTGAGAAATCATTAAATGACGTCTTAAATCCTTTTAACATATCTTGCGGTTCTGAAAAATTAAATATGAATGAATCCATGGATATAAGTAGAGATTTTCAATGTAATAATATAATCGAAGCATCGAGAATTGTGGAAACGAAAAAAATAGAAAAGGTAATATTAGTAAATAATAAGAACATAACAGAAACAAGATTTTCTGGAGAAGAGAATACGAGTAGAATACCGGATGATGATAAAATTTTAAGTGAAAAATGTGAGAATAAAATGTCACCAACGAAGGAAAGTCCTGATGAGGATGAGTGCCAAGCACCAGAAGACAAAGATAAAGAAAAAGAATTAGCCATGTTAATTGACAGCACGATTTGCGAGAGTTCAGAGCCGATGAATGAAGCCGAAGGAGACGTGATTTTACCTGAAAATATAAGCGAATGGTTAAATCAAACGGAAGTTGAAAAATCGGAAACGATTTCGGAAACTCTGAACGGATTCGTTGAACGCGAAGAAGAAAAAGATAAAGACGAACCCGACCGCGTTGAAAACATTTTGAATGGTAGCCTTAAATCTACAATAGAAGAAAATATGGAGAAAGATAAAACATTGGAAGACGTTGAAATGATGGATGAGGTTTGCGAGGAAGAAGTCAATCGATCGAAAACGTTAACGCAAGAAACGTCTTTAAATCAAGAGGAAACAAAAGCAGAAGAAAAAGATGAATTAATTAAAGATGGTAATCATTGCTACGAGTGTGACGAAGAAGTTTTTGGAAGTAAAGAAGGAAAAAAATCAGAAAATGATTTGGAAAATTTACCTGAATCGATTGAAAATATAATTTGTAGTTCGCAAGACGACAGTAAAAAAGATGCTTATGAAGATCGAGACGTCGAATCGACTGAAAACAGGAACGAGGATAAGGAAATGGTAGGTGAAGCTGCAGAAAAAGAAAATGTAATGGAAATGCCAGGAGCATACGGAAATATCAACAAAAAAATTTTCCGAGAGGAATTTGATGAAATGAATGATGGTGATGGTTCGAGAACCATAGAGCAACCACAAAAAAAAATTAAATATTCGGATGAAGAAGATGACATGATGAATTTGGTGGACGGGGAAGAAAAAGAGAAAGAGGATGCGGAAATGGAAGAAGACAAAAATGAAATATCAAAAGAAGTCGTGAATTCGAATGCGAAAGAAACAAAAGAAAATGAAGTCGAGGAAAGAAAGAAAAATGAAAATGAAAATGTTGCAATGACGTTTGAAGAAACGAAAGAGAATGCAAAAGAAGTAGAACAGGAAGAAGAAGAAGACAAAACCGGAAATGAAGAAATTACGGAGCCGCCATTGGTCGATAAAAAAATAATCGAAAATTTAATAAATCAATCGAAGGAATCCGGTTGCGTTTGGTCTCTCGCCGATCATTTCTATTACAATAAAAATAAATATGGAAAATGGTTTTTCAAATTTCAACTGTTGAAAAATTATGCGGAAGTCGTGGTCGAATTGAAAGTTTCCGACAAAAATTCGTTGGATTCGTACAGTTCGGTTAAAAATGTCGAAATCGAATTTAAAAACGAGGAGGAAAAATCGAAAGATTACAAAACAACTTTGGAATTTGGATATTCACATTTCCAGAGATATTTGAACAAGCAAAAAAAATCAATCAAAACAATACTTCACCTTTCGTATTTTTTAGATCAAATGAATTCGTTCACGAGAAAATTAAACGAAAATCTCGGGCAAATTTACGAAATACTGACGTCATATCCGGGAAGCAAATTAAAAGACTCCGTTTTATCATTCAGACTCTTTAGTTTTCCCATTTTATTCAGCGTCGTCGTTTGCATCAACTTAACGGATTTCGACAGGTTGTCGAAATCATCGTTGAAATTCGAACATCATTTCGGTAAAGCAGACGAAAATAAAATTCAAGAAATATTCGAAGAATGTCTCGAAAGGGATAATAATTCGCTCTGCGAATTCATCGTCAATTGCACGTGTGACATAATCGAAAGGGAAAAATTAACGGGTAAAATAAGTAAAAGGGATCACATAAGTTTTCTTCCGGTTAAATATCGATAAATAACGGTCGTAATTTTAAAACTTTTTTTGTTTTTTTCTCGTGAAACACGAATCGCTTTTTTCTCTCATGTCTAAAAGTTGTTAGCGTACGGCGCGACGTGGAATCAGATAAAATTTTGCCGGGTGTGCGAGCGCCAAAGCGGCGAAATTTAGAACTAAATGACAAAATGGATTATTAAGTGCAAATGAACGTTAACGAATAACTTTTTAATTAAATATATATTCTTCCGACTAACCTTTTTTTTCGTTGGCAAATGTTTATTATTTCATTTTGTAAAATCATATTTAAAAAAAAATTATGTGTTACGTCATAAATTAGATGTACCAAGTGGAATATGTATAAATTTTTATTAGTTTATAAAAAAAAAGGTTAAAACAAATTTCTTACTTTTATTTGTACATAACTTTTATTAGGATTAAGTGTTTGAATCAATTGAATTTATTTTGTAATTTAAAAAAAAAAAAAAATTTATATCATTTTAATAAAAATTTTAATACAATATAAATAAGAAAATTATCAAAATGTTATTTTATTTATTTATTTAATTATTTATTGGATTTTTATTCCGTCGTTATTAATAAATAATTTGTTCAAAATAAGATTTTAAAAGAGTTGAAAGGAGAAGATGTTGGCGGGCGCAGGTGCTGCCCTCAATGTCAACGATTAATTAGTGCCACGTTATTTTTTTTCACGGAAAGACAGTACTTAGTTGTCATAATTATAATTTTAGTCATTGATTAAATAGAAAGTGCAATAATATTTAATAAAATGTCAGTTAATAAAAGTCAAGATGATTTAAATAATATTCCTTTGGCCGATGATGATCCACAAGCTGTTATTCAAGACGAAATTGAAAATGGTGATAATTCAAATGTCACTCATTCAATGAACAGGCAGCGGAGTTTAGAATCATTACCATCGAGTTTTACTAATGGAAGTAGCAGTCCCGGACCGAATAGTAAATTATATTTACATTGACTAAAATATCATTTCTCTTTTATTATTATTATTATTATTAAACAAAAATGGATATGAATTTTTTTAAAGGTTTAGATCCAGACATCAGTCCTGATGAACAAGAAGAAAAAGCTAGATTAATATCACAAGTTTTAGAGCTTCAGAACACATTAGATGGTAAGATTATTTAGGAATTTCATTTTAAAAAAAAAAAAAACAATTTTTTAAATTCGCATGACACACGTTCATATTTTTCTAGATCTTTCACAAAGAGTCGATAGTGTTAAAGAAGAAAATCTTAAATTAAGATCTGAAAATCAAGTACTCGGACAGTACATTGAAAATTTAATGTCTGCCTCTAGCGTGTTTCAATCGACATCACCCAGATCGAAAAAAAAATGAAAGTGTGTTTCATTTCCTATTCTCTGATTTGCTTCATTTAATTATTTTCTTCAAAATAATAATAATAATAATAATAATAACAATTCCCACCTTTATTTTCACAGTATAAACTTTTATTTATTTTGCTTCGAAAATAAATCGATATATATTTTAAAAGCAAATAATCGGAGATAGAAAATGAATGAAATCGAAATCAAAAAAAAAAAAAGGTTTTCCCTCATTTATTATTATCATTATTATCACAATGGTAATTAATAATGTACTATTCTATTAATTGTAAAATTTATTCAATGCCTAGTCAAGCTTATGTATAAAAAAAAATTGCACAAATATTTAAGCTAAATCGTTTTATTATATATATATTAAAAAAAATATTACAATGTTGTGAATCGTTAAAGAAACTATTGTTTTTCTCTCTCTCTATTTATTGCAAAAAAAAAGCTGTGAATGTTGTAAATGTGTGTGTGTGTGTGTGCAACAACAACAATTAATTACTTGCCATATTTTATTCACAAACATTTTAAATTAACAACAACAACCGCAATAACAAACAGATAAATAAAAAAAATTTGTTTTCAAATATGATAAAAATTACATGTAATTAATTTAAATACATAAAAAATATATTTATTTATCGATATGTATTATTAAGTTTAGAATATTTAATAAATTGAATTTAAAAAGTTATTAAAAAGACACATAAATAATTAAATTTAATAAATAAATAAAAACGCTTTATTTATATAAAAAATTATTTATATTTATAAATTTTTTTTTTTTTTTTTTTTTTTTTTGTTATTTAATTTTAAGTACATTTTTTTTTTTAAATTTTTTTTCGCGTACACCACGTGATTAAAAATATTATTATTATTATTATTAGTTTTTTTTTTATGCAAAAATTTTGTGTGATGCATTCTGCATTTTTTTAATAAAAAAAAAATTTTAAAAGTTAAAAAAGATTTTATTTTTTTTGTAAAAAAAAAGATTTTTTCTAAATGAGTAGGAGGGGGAGGGGAGAGGGGAAAACGGTAAACGGAAATTATAATTTTTATTTAGAGAGAGAGAGAGAGAGAGAGGAAAGGGAGATAGGGGAAAAAAAATCTAAATGCAATTGTGGAATGAAAAAAAAAACCGACAAATTTTCTTTATGTTTAGCTTACGTGTTAATAAAAAAAAAAAAATATGACCGACTTACTCGACACAACATATTATTATCATTACATTTACCAATATTTTTTTCTTCTAGGTAAAAATTGTATAGCTTTTTGTCCGTATTTTGTTTGTGGTCCCGGTTTTCCTTTTCCTGATTTTTTTATACCAACGTACCATCCCAAATGAGCCCATTTTTTCGATAAATATAAATTATATTGTCCGTACACTAATTCTACGAAAACGGTCGCATCGTTTTTACCATTTACCTAAAAAATCATCATCATCATCATCATCATTATCATTATCATTATCATTTGAGTGTGGGATGAAAAGCGACATTGAAAATTGTTTTTTTTTCCCCCTTTTTGAATTTTATTAAAAAAACTCACTTCTCCATACAATCTTCCTTTTTTGTTCATTGCCAAATAAAGATTCGATTGTAGACCTTTTATTTTAACTTCTCCAAAATTTTCCGAACTCAATTCCACAAGAGCTATAACAATAATAATAATAATAATGATAATGATAATAATGATGATAACAGAGGGGAAAAAAAAAGAAAAATTTTTTAATGCCGACCGTTAGGATTTGTATCTTCGTCGGTTCCGCGAACTTTTTTATCTGGAAAAATGGCTAATAAATATCCAGTACGACAATAAAGTTGCATTCTAAAACCGAAAACCGGATTTCCTTTAAATAAATTAAATCTGTAATTGGGCGGAAACCATTTTGATCTTTTAGAAACGGTTGAATTTTTTGAATTTGAAGAACATCTAAAAAAAAAAAAGTTCGATGACACTAAATAATGAATGAATGAATGAATGAAAATTTTTTCTTTTTTACTAATGCTAAAAAAAAAAAAAAAAAAAAAAATCGTCTCGGTTAAAATTTATAATCGTTTTATATAAAAAAATTTTTTTGAAAGTAAAAAAATATGGATAGAAAAATGGCGTCTGAAATCCAAATCGAAAAAAAAAAAAAATTATGCGTGGGCGTTTATAATATCTCGCCAGATTTTTTTTTTTTTTTTCTATTCTGGCACTCTCGAAAATAACTCTAAAAATAACACGGGAGGAAAAAAAAAATTAAACGACTCTCCATAAATCGAAAATTGTTGCATAAGTGTATAAACAAACAAACAAACAAACAGTGAAAAAATTTTACATCATCTTGCAAAAAATTAATCCAAAAAAAAAAAAAATTTTTTTTTTCATTTTTTAATTATTACAAACTTGTTTTTTTTTTTTTTTTAAAAAAAACCTACAATTAATTTATACAAAATTAAAACCTACAACGAATTTATTCAAGGTTTTGTTACGATAATAATAATAATAATAAAAGATTGAGCTTTATATTACAGTCGGAACTGAATGGAAGAAATAAGTTAAACGCCAAGCGGCACATTAGCAGTTCCAGTAATAGAATATAGTTTTGGCCTCGTCGACTGGACAAAAGAAGAAATCACGAACCTGGACCGAAGAACAAGGAAAATATTAACTATGAAAGGTGCGTTACATCCAAAAGCTGATGTGGATAGATTGTACGTCAGCAGGAAAGATGGAGTAAGAGGATTACGACAAATAGAAGCGGCATACCAGAATGCCATTATTGGAATGGGAAAATACATAGAATCCCATCAAGAGGACCCTATCTTAGCCCAAGTTATACATGCAGAAGAAAAAATTACAAAAAAAGGAGTACTGAAAAGGGCAAAACAAATCATCAAAGAAAATAAAGAAAATGAGATAATGGAAGAAGGGCAACTTGCAACTTATGATAGCAAAGCCCAATCTCAGAAGAAATTAAAAGGCAAATGGGAACAGAAAAAGTTGCATGGGCAATACCTAAAAAGAATAAATGCCGAAGATATTAATAAGAAGAGCACGCACAATTGGCTACGGCGTGGAAAACTTAAAATTGAAACGGAAGCGTTTATTACAGCGGCTCAAGATCAGGCATTGCGGACCCATAACTATGAGAAAGTCATTCTGCCGAATTTGGCCGAATTTGCCAATCACGATCGGAAACCATCGACCATTTAATTTCCGGTTGTCCGTTACTGGCAAAACATGAATACTTAGAAAGGCACAATAAAATATGTCAATATCTCCATTGGAGTATATGCCGGGAATATGGAATGGATGGATTGCCCAAAGAGTGGTACAACCACATTCCAAGCCCGGTTACGACAGTAGGCCCATGCACAGCTCTGTATGATCAACAAATCCACACTGACAGAACTGTGTCAGCCAACAAACCGGATATCATCCTCAGAAGCATAATGCGAAAAAATGGTGTAAATTAATTGAGGTATCCGTGCCGGCAGAAAAAAACACCACAGCCAAAGAAGCAGACAAAAGGCTGAAATATAGAAATTTGGAAATTGAGATAACCAGGATGTGGGGAACAAAAACAGAAACGATTCCGGTCATCGTGGGAGCATCACTGGGAGCCATGCCACATTCAATAAAAGGAAATTTAAAGAAGATTTTGAAGAACCTAAAAGAAGAAACCATCCAGGAAATCGCACTATGTGGGACGGCCCACATTCTTCGGAAAATATTATAAATAGCACCACCGAAATTCGAGTATTTGTCCCTAAGGAATCGGGTAGAAACCTGGGATAAATACTTAAAAACCCCGACAAATAAGAGCCTTGTCGTGTTTAAAAGTGACCATAATAATAATAATTAAAATTGATTAAGTTGACATGCGTTTACATCATGTCAACTTATTAAATTAATTTTTAATAATTTTATTTAGTGATTTAGTTATAAGAAGTTATGTATGTATCAAAAGTTTTGTAATTTAGCCTAATTTATTGTAATATAATTATTTTTTTTAATATTAAATATTTGTTTTTTATTTTGTACTCCTGATTTTAAGGGAAAATTCACTGTTCCATTTTATTTTTTATTAAAAAACCTCCTCGGATCTTATGTTTTACGGATACATCGGAAAAAAAATGTTCGATTAAAAATCAAGTTAAAAATGACCGCGAAAATCCAACGTTTACGATTTATTCTAAAGTAGGTCGACCTTGAATCCAAGGCCATTAGTTTTAAATTTCAATTTTGTGAAAATTTTCATGGTCACGATTTTTCAACCAAGGTCGACCTTGTTTACTGTTTACGCTAAGTAGGACGACCTTGTATATTTTACCTGGCACACATTTTATTTTAAGCGGGAACCCAATGTTGCATTTTATTTTATTTTTATTCATTTTTTATTTTATTTTACTTTATACCTCTTGGGGTCTTATGTTTTTCTGATACATCAGAAAGGTAGAAGGGTAGAAACCTGGAATATATGTTGAAAAAGCTCCGACAAACATCAGGACGAATTGTCGTCATTATAATAATAATAATAATAATAATAATAAGCGGCATACCAGAATGCCATAATTGGAATGGGAAAATATATAGAATCCCATCAAAAGGACTTGTAGAATATGTGATGGATAATCCAAGGAGTGGTACAACCACAATCCAAGCCCGGTTACAACAGTAGGTTCATGCACAGTTCTGTATGATCAACAAATTCACACCGACAGAACTGTGCCAGCCAACAAACCGGATATCATCCTGAGAAGCATCATGTGGAAAAATGGTGTAACCTGATTGAAGTATCCGTGCCGGCAGAAAAAAATACCACAGCCAAAGAAGCGAGCAAAAAGTTGATATACCCAGGATGTGGGGAGTCAAAACAGAAACTATTCCGGTCATCGTGGGAGCAGCACTGGGAGCCATGCCACCACATTCAATAAAAGGAAATTTAAAAAAAGAAACCATCCAGGAAATCGCACTATGTGGAACGGCCCACATTCTTCGGAAAATATTATAAATAGCACCACCGAAATTCGAGCATTTATTCCCTAAGGAATCGGGTAGAGAGACTTGGAATAAATGTCGACAAATAAAAATCTTGTCGTGCTTAAAGGTGACAATAATAATAATAATAATAATAACAATAATAATAATAATAATAATATTAATAATAATAATAATAATAATAATAATAATAATAATAATAATAATAACAACGGTTAAAATTAATTACATGAGTTGACATGCAGTTACGTCATGTCAACTTATTTCATTGATTTCCATAGTTTTATTTAATAATTTAGTTATAAGTTATATACATCAAAAGTTTTATTATTTAGTCTACTTTATTGTAATATAATTAATTTTTTACATTATTTGTTTTTTATTTGTACTCCTGATTATAAGTGTAAACATAGATTGTATGTTATTTTACAACCACCATTTTCTTATGTTTGCCTGATACATCTTGGCGTATTTTACCATATTTTTAGTGTAAAATTTCAGTTAAGATAAGAAAAATTCAACTGCCTTAATTACTTAATATATTACTATAATATTATTAATTATTACTATTATATTATACTATATATTAGTAACATTAGATTACTTAAGTTTTTTAGGTACAAAATTGTAATTTGTGTACTGTGCATGCATTAAAGATGGAATGCATGAGGGAAAATAGTGGGAAAATTAAGTATTGAAATAGTTCTGAGGAAAAATTTATATGATAACTTATTCATGATTGTAATAAAGCAAAATGAGAACAAGATAAAGACCAAAAGGCAGATCTTGTTCTATTGTTGACACTGAGCCACTTATCTCACTTCTCCTGTTCCTGGTTATTATTCCAGAGATGTCAGTCACTGGAGCCCAGGAGTACAGGAGATAACTCTTTTCCATCGAATAAGATGGTCTTAGTGAGACTTACAAGAATTGTTGTCATGTCATAGGTTATAAAACCTATTCGTCAGGCATGCAGCATCACTTATATTCAAGCATTTATTCCTTAGGAATCGTATAGAAACCTGGAATAAATGTTGAAAAACAATCCGGCAAACATTAAGACGAATTGTCTTCGCGATTATGAGTGAAAATAATAATAATAATTTTTATTAAAAGGGAGAAGGGGGAGGGAAGGGGTAATAAAAAAAAAAGAAACAAACCTGGAATTGGGAGGATATTTAACATCTCGACGAAATCTCCCTAAGGACTCATTTCCTTCATCCGTTTCGTCATCAATAATTTCCAGTTCGCTATTTTCACTTTCATCCTCCTCATCCGATTCGGAACTCAAACGATCTTGAGATTTGGTTACGTCATCATTATTTTTTATTACGTCACCATCATTATTAATTTTTTCAATTTTTTTATTCGCGTTACCCATTTTTTTTTTTTTTTTTTTCAAAAATTCATTTGAAACGATTTTTTTTTGTAAAAAAAATTGTACGTTTCCTTTCGCAACGATTAAATAATAAAAACTAAAAAAAAAAAATTTTTTACGATACGAGGATTCCTTGGTCGAATTGCCAACTGCCAAAAAAAAAAAAAAAATAAATAAAAAAACTTAATTTAATTAATGATTTTTAACGGTTTTTCGTTTTCCAATTTCAAAGTGATTTTTTTTTTTCTAAATTATTTTTAGTATATTTTAGAGAGAGAGAGAGAGAGAGAGAGAGAGAGAGAGAGAGAGAGAGAAAGAGAGAGAATAATTTAACCGTTTAAACAAATTTTATTAAATAAATATTTATATATATTTTCGATACGAATTTTTTTTATATAAATAAAATTAAAAAAAAAAAAATGGCCGACATTTTCTCCCCCATTTGTTGAGAATTCAATGAAAGGAAATTTAAAGAAGATTTTAAAGAACCTAAAGGAAGAAACCATCCAGGAAGTCGCACTGTGTGGGACGGCCCACATTCTTCGGAAAATATTATAAATAGCACCACCGAAATTCGAGTATTTGTCCCTAAAGAATCGGGTAGAAACCTGGGATAAATACTTAAAAACCCCGACAAATAAGAGCCTTGTCGTGTTTAAGAGTGACCATAATAATAATAATAATTAAAATTGAATAAGTTGACATGCGTTTACATCATGTCAACTTATTAAATTAATTTTTAATAATTTTATTTAGTGATTTAGTTATAAGAAGTTATGTATGTATCAAAAGTTTTGTAATTTAGTCTAATTTATTGTAATATAATTATTTTTTTTATTATTAATTATTTGTTTTTTATTTTGTACTCCTGATTTTAAGCGAAAATTCACTGTTCCATTTTATTTTTTATTAAACCTCCTTGAATATTATGTTTTACGGATACATCGGAAAAAAATTTTCGATTAAAAATTAAGTTAAAAATGACCGCGAAAATCCAACGTTTACGATTTATTCTAAAGTAGGTCGACCTTGAATCCAAGGCCATTAGTTTTAAATTTCAATTTTGTGAAAATTTTCATGGTCACGATTTTTCAACCAAGGTCGACCTTGTTTACTGTTTACGCTAAGTAGGACGACCTTGTATATTTTACCTGGCACACATTTTATTTTAAGCGGGAATCCATTGTTTGAATTTTATTTTTTTCTATACCTCCTTGGGTATTATGTTTTTCTGATACTTTTGGCCAAAATTTTCGATGTTTTTTAGGTAAAAAAATTGAAATTTGTTTACTGTGTATAAGGATGTACATTAAGGATGAAAAAAAAAAAGAAAAATTATAATTCACAATAATAAATTATATTTTTATTAAAATTAAATTTTTTTATGTCTTTTTTTTCCCCATAATTATTCAACATGTAATTTTATGCAATAAAATTAAAATAAATAAATAAATTGAAAAAAAAAAGTTTACATTATTTCATTGGGGGGGGGGGGGGGAGAGAATAAATTTACAATAAAACTTAAAACGATAAAATCATACAAGAACAAAAGGGCGTTCAAATCAATTTTTTTTTCCCGCACGATCACAATAAGTTTAATAATAATAATAATATTTTGTTTTAACTCGAAACGCGTTTTCATAAAAAATAAAATAAAATTTGACTTATTATTATTGAATTACATTTTATACTTATTTTAGTTTTTCTTATACTTTGACTAACATTAATAATAATAATAATAATGATATTGATGACAATATCGACAGTGATAATAATAATAATAAAATTATCTAAAATCAATCATCGAGTCACGAAATTAAAATAAATAAATAAAAAAAAATAGCATTTTTTTATATTATTATTTCTCTTAACCTAATTCATTTTTTTCTCCTTTACCCTCTACCCCCCCCCCCGCGCAAACGACGACGTCATTTCCGTTTTACACGAAAAACCAAAAGAAAAAAAAACGAAAAAACGAAAAGAAAAACTCGAATTTCCCAAGCATAGTACGCTGCGAAAATCATTTCGACCGAAAAAAATTTTTCTATTTTCTTCTTCCTTTTCCCTTTCTTTTCCTTTTTGTTTCTTCTTTTTCCTCCTCCTCCTCCTCCTCCTCCTCCTTCTTCTTCTTCTTTCCTCTTTCCAATCAATCATCTTCATCTTCGTCATCGCTATTCGTGTACTTTGGTTGAGTTTTCCTCCTTCTCGTGCTTCCTCTTCCCTCTCCTCCTCTTCCTCCTTTTCCACTTTTTATTTTTATTTTCATTCTAACGGATTCCGATTCGGAATTTCCATCCTCGTCTCCTCCGTCTGAAAATTTAAAAAAATCCAAAATAAATAAAATTCGACGAACAAAAACCTTTTTTAAGCGATTCTTTCATCATCACCTTTATCCTCATCCGTTTCCGCATCCTGTTCCAATCTTTGTCTCGCGTTCGTAAACACGGATTGAAGTACGATCGAATCTTCGTGTATGAGAGAAGCTTCTTCGTTGTATATTTGAGCATTTTTACACATTTGAGTGAAATCCTTTTCCAAATCGTCAAAATCCGAATACTGAAACAACAACGACAAGAGTCAGAATGAAACTTTTCCCCCCTTTCTTTCCATTCCCCCTTCCCACCCCCACCCCCCAGCTTACTTTTCCATCTTCTATCCTGTTAAATATTTTCTTTATATCCAAAGGTTTTTTTATTATGTCGTAATAATCCGGTAATTTATTTTTAGATGGTAATTTCATGAAAGGTTCGCTGAGAATTCTTCCATCGCTAAAACCAACAAAAAAACCAAAAGTTAAACACGTGAGAGAGAGAGAGAGAGAGAGAGAGAGAGGGAGAGGGAGAGGTCATTAGGTCAATGATTGATTGATTACCTGTCGGCGTATTTGACGACGATGTTCATTAAACTTTTCATTTGTTTTTTCATTTTCGAATCAATGTGAGAAAGATTTTTACGCTTTTTCGAAGAGGATGACGGTATGACGTCATCGTCGTCATCTTCTCCTCTTCGTTTTCTTTTACCTCTTTTCTTTTTTGATTTTTTTTCTTCTTCTTCTTCGTCTTCGTCGTCGTCGAAAGCGCCCTCTTCGTCGATTGCCTGTTTTTTCGATTTCCCAAAATCATTCGTTAATTTAATTCTTTTTACTCTTTATAATACTAATAATAATAATGATTACCTTGAGCCATTCTTTTTCCGTTAGACTATCCGTGTAATCGACTTCTTTCCTTTTTCTCGAACCTCTTTCCAATATTTTCTCTTCTTCTTCTTCGTAAGCTAAAACGTCAACTTCGTCATCTTCTTTCACCTGATATGAAGACCCAAACAAAAGACAAACCATGTAAAAATTAACTTATTCGAAGGGGGGGGGGAAAAAAAAAGAAAAAAAGAAATAGAAAACAAAACGAACCAGCCAATCAGGAAGTTCGGATTCTTCAATGAGCCTGCTTTTCCTCGCCGTTCCCAATTTGGCATCCTCTCGTCTCCTTTCCAAATCCATCTTTTGAAACAAATCGAATTCGACTTCGTTCCTAGCAATCATTTGATTGACCGTTTCGTCATCGGGTACTTCGTTTTCTTCCTCGTCGTCCGCATCGTCCTGATGAAGAATCGTTTGTAGAAATTGTTGTCGTTCGCTACCCGTCGATTTTTGATCGAACATTCCCGCTTGTATGACTTTTTCATCCATGTTGAGCTTGTACCTGGCAGCAGCCAATATTCTTTCTTCGACCGAATTCACCGTCATCAGTCTCAAAACGCGTACCTCGTTTTGTTGTCCGATACGATGAGCTCTGTCTTGAGCTTGCAAATCCTAAATAATAATTATAAATACATAATGAATCTTTCTAAGAAGGAGAAGAAGAAGCAGACGAAACAATGATTGATCACCTGATGAGGATTCCAATCAGAATCGAATATTATTACGGTGTCGGCTGCTTGAAGATTAAGACCGAGTCCTCCGGCTCTCGTACTGAGCAAAAATAAAAAATATTCGGAATCTTTACTATTGAATTTTCTCAAAAGTTCTCCACGATCCTCCGATTTCGTCGTACCGTCCAAACGAAGATAATTAAAATTTCTCCAAGCTTCAAATCAATAAATAATAATAATAATAATAATAAACCCAACGTTTATAACGGATTTGGGAAGAAAAAAAATGTTAAAAACTTACTCAAATAATCTTCCATTATTGTCATGAGTTGAGTCATTTGGCAAAAAAGTAAAACTCTGTGATTGGTCGCTTTCAACTTGGGTAAAATTCTATCCAACAATTCAAATTTACCGGAAGCTCTATACAAATCAGGTCTGCGAACAAACAAACAAACAAACAAACAAACATCAATCAATACTCTCTTATTACCACAATAAAAAATAAGAAATCGAGACGAGATCTCGATCTCGTTCATACCCGGAAATAACTCCGGCAGCCGCACCCACGTGATCACAATATTTTTCTTCTATTTGTTGAAACATGAATGGATGATTGCAAAGTTTTCTCAACTGAACAATCGTGTTCATCAAAGCTTTCGCTCCGCCTTTTCCTTTGTTTCCTTTTTCCGAACCGTCCGTGAGAAGGACTCCTTTGCTTTGCATGTGCCTGAAAAAAAAAAAAGGGGAAAGCAAATTCAATTCTCCCGAGTCATTCACTCACCGATCGTTAAATTAACCAACTGGAAAACTGGAGTACCTGTAAAGAACTCTTTGAAGTCCCGACATATCACATTTAATTATGTATTCTACTTTGTCGGGTAGCTGCGACTCGACTTCTTTTTTCAATCTTCTCAATAAAAACGGTCTTAAAACTTTGTGCAAACGACGAATTATCAAAATCGTTTCTTCTTCGTTTAATTCTACCTGAATTGTACAAACAAAAACCGTAACAGTTCTTTTATTCGTTCCTTTTAACAAGAAAAAAAACCAAAAAAATCAAAAAAATTCGAATCGTTTACTTTTTCTCCGGTCGTTGCAAATGGAGCGTTAAACCATTGTTCAAAAGTGCTCACGGATTTGAAAATGGAGGGAAGTAAAAAGTTCAATAAAGCCCATAATTCCGGAAGTTTGTTTTGAAGAGGAGTACCCGTTAGTAACAACCTGTGAGGAGCTATGTAATGAGTGTTGAGTACTTGAGTCAATTTACAATGATGATTTTTCATTCTGTGCCCTTCGTCGATGATCATGAATCTCCAATGGAGCTAAAATTATAAAAAAATTTTTAATGAGAGAGAGACAGAAAGGGACAGAGAGACAGAGAGAGACAGAAAGAGACAGAGAGAGACAGAGACAGAGAGAGGAAGAGAGAGAAAGAGAGAGAGAGAGAGACAGAGAGAGACAGAGAGAGACAGAAAGAGACAGAAAGGGACAGAGAGACAGAGAGAGAGAGAGAGAGACAGAAAGAGACAAAGAAATTAATAAATTATTTCAATGCCTTCATGAGTAAGTTACCTTTGCCAACACTCCTTTGTCTTTTATGACGTATTCGTACGTCGTTAACAAAACGTTGAACTTTGTCGATCTCATTTGATTTTGAATGGATCGACGCAAATGAGGACTTCCTTTATATGCGACGACGACGACCGATGGCGCCCATTTTTCAAATTCCAAAACCCAATTCGACAATGTTCTAAAATAAAAAAAAAGACAACGAATTAATAGTTACTCTCTCTCACTCTCTCTCACGAAAAAAAAAAAAAACTTACGATAAAGGAACGATTATCAAAAAGGGTCCCATAACTCTTTTCTTTTCCATCAAATACGTGAGCAAACCGATCGTTTGTATTGTTTTTCCCAAACCCATTTCGTCCGCCAAAATCCCATTTAAATTATTATTAAAAAGCGACACGAGCCATTCTAAACCTTTTATCTGGTATTCTTTGAGTTTACCATTGACCATAATGGACGCTTGTTCAACGACAACCTCATTGATAGTGTGAGCAATGCTGTAGTACGTTTGTTCATCCGTTTTGTACTCGTCGTCTTCGACTTTGGCTTTGTTAATAACGGCTTTGGCATCGACATCATCGTTTTGTTTGGAAGAACTATTTTGTTTCGACGTGTCTTCTTCGTCTTCGTCGTCGTTTTCGTCATCGTCATCCTCCGTATCTTCTTCCATCTGAAAACATCAAATCATTTTTTATACATATTTTTTCTCTTTTAAATTTAATTCCAACAAATGAAATTCACAAACCAGTTCCCATCCCGGATGACTGTCCAACCACGATTCGACTTCGCTCGCGAGTGGCGCTTCGTCTCCGGACAATGTTTTACCCGTGGCTGTTTCCACGACCGTCACGTGAAGATCCGTATTCTGAGACGATTCGTCAACGTCCATCCCATCTTCTCCTTCCACTTTCTTTCGTCTTTTTTTCTAAAAAAAAATTTAAATTTCAAATCGCCATTCGTGCAAGTACGAAATATAAAAATGAAAAACTCATTACTTTTTTCTTCTTCTGCTCTTCGTGTTGTTTTCTTTTTTGTTCTGCTTTATGTTGTTTAACCATTTCTGTAAGATTGCTAATGTATTCATCGGTTTGAGAGAGAAGAAAAGCCAAACGTTTATCTTTTTTCTGATCGATTAATTTTCTATTAACAAAAAAAAGGAAAAACATTCATTATAACTAAATTAAACTTTTGAAATTGTTTTCTCTCTCTTTCTCTCGCTCAACCTACCTGTAACCTTCTTCGTCTTCGGCCATTAAACGTCTCATACGTTCTTTTTCGATTCTTTCCTGTTCTTTCTTCTGCTCTTTTTCCGCGTTCGCATGATAATTCAATACGGCTTTGTTTAACCTAGCCACTTTGGCCAAATTATTACGGTGATGCTCTTTGAAATCTTTCGAATGTTGCAGCACGGCAGCCAAATATTCCTTTTTAAAAAAAAAAAAAATTTAAATTTTTTTTTATGAAAACGTTCTCAATCGAATAACGGTTATCCGTTTATTATTACCTGATGTTTTTGACGTCGTTTCCGTTCCGCTTCTAATTTTTGCTGTTTTTCAAGTTTTTCAGTTGCTCTTGCTTCTCTCAAACCTTGACGTTTGGTTCGTTTGTATGCTTTTACATTGACGGCCGTTTCTAACGTGGTATCGCGACGCGTACAAGCTATAATCTAAAATGATAAAAATAAATTAAAAATAAATTTACAAACAAATTTGTTTAAATTTTTTGAAAAAAAAAAATTTTACTAACTTCGCTTTTTAACTGCCTTTGAAAATTTAAAAGTCTCAACGATCTCAATTCGATTTCGGCTCGAAGTTTTAAATCTTCCGCCATCGAAGTTGGTAAATTGTTAAGTACGTCGATTCTCATTGCGATCCGAGCTGCTTTCCTACAAAGTTGTTGATGCAAAGCAAAATGTTAATCGTCACGAAATATCACGTGATAAAAATTCCAACAGGTAATTCAAATGTCAATTATACCTGTTTTCTCTTTCTTGAAGAATTGTGAGAGGATCTAATCCCGTGGGTTTAGGTATTGCAGTGACTCGATTTTGTTTGGCCGGCGTTTGACCGGGTTGAGGTACGGCCGTCGTCGTTCCAGGTCGCACGGAGGTCGTGGGAGGAAGAGATCCGTGTTGAGGTGAAACGATACCTCCAGGTCCTAAATTATAAAAATTACCAAAAAAAAAAAAATTCAATAATTATTATTATTATTTCTAATTATCAATAATGAAAGCCAAGACAACACATTCATTTTGCTGGATTTAAACATATACCTGAAAACGAAAAAACCCAAAATTATCATGCTTCAAGATGCAAATAAAAAAAAAAAAAAATTTTACTAATTTATAAATAAATACAAAAAAAAAAAAAATTTTCCAATGAAATTTAAATTCTTTTATAAATTCCAACTCTGACGATTGATAATTCTAATTTTAAAAAAAAGTAGTAAAAGAGAGTAAAAGAATACAACGATTTAAATTTAAATTCAACGAAATAAAACATGAAAGAAAAGCGAAATAAATAACAAAAAAAAAAAAAAAAAAAAAGAAAAATGTCGTGCCGAACGAGAAAAAGTATTGACTAAAAGAGCGCTACCGTTGAATGAAGCTGGAGGTATAGAATTCTGTGTCACCGGTGGTTTATTAGAGCTCGAAGATGAGCTCGGTGGTGTTGACGTCGGTGGCGGTCTAGATGGTTGAGGATGCGATTGACCAGGTGGTCCTGTCGATGGTGGGGGAGAACTAATATCACTCCTCCCACCTATTGTTATACAATGGTTGAACGGTAATTAAAAAATTTTAGTTTACAAAAAAAAACAGGGGGGGGGGGAAATTTAGTTTTAAAAAAAATTTAAAACATGAAAACGAACCGGAATCTGGTTGTCCTGTAGGTCTCACGGAAGCCGATTGTGGAGCCTCCATAGGTTGTTGACTCGGTGGAAAACCGGGAGCGTTCGGTTGGTTACCTTCGGACAAAATATACGACTTTAATACACGACATAAGCCCATTACGAGGTAGGCGGTTTTATTATCAGGAATACCCACCTGCGGGAACTTTTCCTTGAACTGCCAGTGCGACTTGTTGACTCAGTGGTTGATTCCTAGCCAACATTCTATATGCCATGATTTGACCTCTGAGTTGTAACATTTGACTCGGAGTGAGATGATTTTTCGTTTGACCTTCACAGGGTTGATTAATTCCGCTCGAACTATTTCCGCCGAATCCCTTATATGAGACAAAAAATTAAATTAATTTTCCGGAAAATAATCTTTTCACTAAATAATAATAATAATAATAATGATGATGTTACAAACCATTCTGGAAGGATCCATGTTTCCCTGTTTGGCTCTCAACACTAACAATTGCGAATACCTTGGATCCTCTTGCAAACCTTTTTCTTCCATTAAATCAATCGTTCTTTGCAGTGCATTTAAATTTTCTTGACCCGACTGACCGACGATGGGCCCGGGGGGACCACTTTGAGATGAAGGTGGCGGACCCGATTGTGGTCCACCGTGAGGTACGCCGCCAATGCTTCCGCTACCACCAGGCGGTCCTCCCTAAAATAATATAATTTTTATTTCGAATGAATATTTAAACGAGAAGTAACTGAAATTTATGACGTCATCAAAAAAAAAAAACCCGCAATATTTAAAATTGATTTCGATGCAATAAATATTGCGATATGATATGAACGTGGAAATAAATGGCTTTCGCATAACGTAATAATTATTATCAGATTCAAATCGACACACAGATTAAGCAGAAAAGTGGTTTTGTTGCTGGGTCATGTGATAAAAATGTCGGCGAAAGAAATTAAAGAATATTTTGAATTTGTAAAAACCATAATTCTTCAAGCGGGAGAAGTAAGGAATTAAACGTTAAAACTTTTTTCGTAAAATAATAATAATAATAATAATAATTTTCCTTTTCGAATACAGATTGTAACGGAAGGTTTTTATAAAGATGATAAAAATGTAGAAATAAAAAACGAATCCATTTTTGATTTGGTTACCATGTACGATAAAAAAGTGGAAGAATTATTCACGAATAATTTGAAGACGAGATACCCGAGTCATAAGTATTTAATTTGAATTTATATATTTTTTTTTCTTAAGCTTCGGATATTTCTAACATTATTAAAATATTTTAGAATCATAGGAGAAGAAACTTGGCCGACTGGACAAGAAATAAAATTGACAGATGAACCGACATGGATAATTGATCCAATTGATGGTACCACTAATTATGCTAAAAATATTCCCCTGATTGGAATCTCAGTCGCATTGGCAATAAAAAAAAATGTTGTTATCGGTATTGTTTATAATCCAATATTAAATCAATTTTATTCTGCCATTAAGGGAGAAGGAAGTTACTATAATGGAAAAAGAATATATTCGACTAAAAATGAAGGTGAATAATTTATTAATTTCATATACAAACATTTAACAAGTTAATAATACAAGAAATAATAAAAATGATTGGTATGATTATAGATTTACAAAAATCTGTAGTGAGCAATGAAATATCTTTGGCTTCCATACCCCGTTTGCATGAGAGAACAATGAAAAGAATAAAAAGTTTAACCAAATTTGGTGTCCTCGGGTAAATAATATAATTTATTACTTTTTTTTTTTGTTATTTTGAGTTAATGAATAGACATTTTTTGTAATAGTTTTAGAAGTTTAGGATCGGCTGCTATTACTCTTTGTTATTTGGCAGACGGAAAGATTGATGTGTACTTTACAGATGGGCTCAAATGTTGGGACATTGCAGCTGGAATTTTAATTTTGCAAGAAGCTGGAGGTTGTGCATGTTGTTCAAATGGTTAAGTTATTTCGAAGTGAATTATTAGAACCAAATATCTTATTTTCAAAAAAAAAAAATTAATTGGATACTCGATTTTTTACAGGAGAACCTTACGATATGTTTTCTAAAACTCTCGTTGCAGCAGGTAATGAAGCATTGTTAAAAGAAATTGTAAAACATTTAAAAGAATGTGACGATTAAAAAAATTACAGCCCAAGTTTAAGAGTTTACATCATTGAAGAAAAGTAGTATTACGAGAATAATAGCAACCATATAAATTTATATGCAATTTTTATGTGATTAGTTACTTATTTATATAAAAAAGTGTTTAATATTTTACTGTGACATGTACTTTTACGAAAATAAATGACTTGTATTAATTTTAAAAATTATCGTTAATTAAATATCTCTATGATAAAAAAATTCTTATAAGAAAAACTCACTTGCATTGAAGACGGTTGATGACTAATTTGTGAATTTGATCCAATAAGAGGCTGCGATGAATTAAGATAGGGTGAATGAGATAAATTTTGACTGTGAGGAGGCAAACCTGAAGGACCATTCATATGAACACCAGGTATATTACCTGGTATTTGACTGCCAGGTGGTAAAGAATGAGATAAATTAGGAGGGCAAGATGATTGATTAGGGTTATATGTAGGTCCAGGACTTGGAGCGAGATGTTGGGGAGGACCCATAGGAGAAGGTGCTCCAGAATTTGCCATTAACGATGGAGACTGTTGTGGAGGCCCCATCGGAGAAGGAGCTTGAGGGGGTGGCATAGGAGAAGGTGGATGAGGCGAAGGACTAGCCATTCTTCCACTTTCTTCTTCCAGGCTACCTATGTTTACCTGAAATTATTGATTTTAGCTTAACGATTTATCTTGATGTTAATTTGACAATAAATATAAATAATTTACCCTTTGCTTACAATTTAATTAGTAATTCATATTTATTTTTATTCTTAAATTCTTTTTTCACAAACACAACACGTACGATATACCGGTAAATGTAAAAAAATTGGATTTGAAAGCTAACTGATTACATACACAATATGTCGGAAAGATTTTAACGTTGTTTTGGCTACTTTTCCCTCAAAAGTCTACTTCGTCGCAGTTATGCAAAACAAAAATCTATTGCCACGTTTTTTATTCCGCGCCTTCAAATTGTAATATTAATTTATTTTTACGTACCCCCTATTTGTGCATATAAATTACCGATAATCTTTGTAAAAAAAAAAAAAAATTTAAGAAATAAAAATATTATTTTTTTTTGTATGAGTGTTATTGTAAATATTTAACGTAATAAAAAGATTTAATCTTGGCTTTTAGTACAAAATAATTAGGATATTATATTAAAAACCTCCTAGTACCAAGGATACAAGCATCGGTGGTTCAGTGGTAGAATGCTCGCCTGCCACGCGGGCGGCCCGGGTTCGATTCCCGGCCGATGCAGAACCTCTTTTTTTTTTCTCCCCCCCATAATCCATTGTTACACATTAAAAAACATTTTATTATTTTTTTAAATAATAAAAAAAAAAAACAATATATAATTTCTAACAGAGAGAAAAATATATTTTGAAAACAATTCATTAATATATATGTATTTTACAAAAAAAAAAAAAAAAATTTTTTTTATAATCAAAAGGAGGTCATTTTAAAACATTTGTATTCATAGACTTCTATTTTAGAAAATACGAACCAATGTAAATAATATATTTTTTAACTAAGAGTAATATTTCTTTGAAACAAGTATTTGAAACTCCAGATATCGTCGGGAATTCAGCACCGTCATAATCATCATAATCATCACCGAAATCGTGAAACAAAGGAACCGCATGTTTTTGTATGGCTTTATTAAAACAAGAAAGGCTAGCATATAATCCGGAAACATCATTTAAATTACAAGTTTCACCATAATTGAGTACACCGCATAAATAAAATCTATTATTTGAATGTAAACACATGGCGGGACCACCTTTATCACCCTAAAATAAAAATTTAAAAAATTTAGGGATTATTATTTATAGACTTTATGCTTTCTTCTTTTTTTTTTTAATATATTTACTCACTATGCATAATTTATTTAAACCTTTAACCCCGGCACACATTCTACATTCTCCTTTTAAATTTTCCAATGTATTTTTATGTATCGAATCCAAACATTTTTCCGTACGTACCAACGGAAGATTTCCATAGAGTAATTTTTGATAAATCGTATGAGAATTATTCCACGTCGTCGTAACTAAATTCGTACCTGATAATAAATAATAATCGAGTTAGTATAATAATTATTAAAAAAAAAAATTTCCCGAAAAATGATAAATGAAAAACCTTCGGGATATTTTTGATTTGTATTTGGCATACAAATCGGAGCAACTAATGGCGAATCAAAATCCAAAGCTCTTTCCAATTTAATAAGTCCTAAATAATTCCCTGTTGAATCATCCGTTAAAACTAAATTGACAAATTTTTCCGCACCGATCCTTTGACCGAAACCTGAATTTTACAAAAACAAAAACAACAAAAAAAAATATAAAACACATTTATAAATAAATAAATTTTGTTGTTTATCAAATCGATTAATTATTAATATATATATATATAAATAAAAAAAATTAAATTTATTTTCCCTTCAGATAAATCACTTATTCCAGCCACGACGAAAACATTTTTCGTGAGGACACCTTCGACGCAAGCAGACGACGTGACAACCCAAATGGAACTTATTATTGTACCCGTACAATAATGTGCAAATGAATTAAATGCAACTTTTCTCTGGATCGATACGACCCATGGAAATTGTCCTGGAATAAACCAAAATTAAATTATTATATATATAGATATCCTCGTAAATTTTTTTTGGGTCGCCATTTTGTTTCTTCCTTCCCCCTTAGGTTACCTGGTACCGCTTCTCTTGCCAATTGTATTTTTTCATCTAATAAATGTTTTTTATTATATACACCACATGGTACTTCGTAGAAAAAATCACTAAAAAAAAAAAAAGAAAAAATTATTATTAATAATGATGATGATACTTCCCCCCCCCCCCGAGTTTTCACGTACCTGTTTGTTGTGTGATATTTTATTTTTCTATAATCCGGTAATGCATCATCCTGAAATTTATTATAAATTTCAACTCCTTTACAAACATTTTTCTCTAATCCTGTAATCATAAAATAAATTTTTAAAAAAAAAACTGATGAAATTTTAACTTAAATGGAAAAAACCTATAAACCTGTATAAACCGTACCTATAAAAAAACACAAAAATAATATAATTAAATTTTGTCGTTGTTTGTTCCACGTCAAATTGATATAATTCATTTTTTTTTTTTTTTTTTAAATTAAAATTAAAATTCAAAACTTAAAAAAAAATTTTAATTTTTCCAAATATAAACGTTTATAAGTTTTTCTTTTTATATGAAAATTTCAAAAAATTTTTAAAAGTGGGGAGAAGGGGGAGGGGGGCAAACGAAAACAAAAAACAAATTTTTTTTAAACGTTCAATGTTAAAATGATACATATTAATTAATTTAATTATATTCATCGATATATCGATTATTTCCTTTAATTATTTTTACTTTTCATTTCTTTTTTTTTTTTATTCCTTTTATAATTTTAAAAAAAAATCGATAATCTATTACAAAAATATTTACAAAAAAATAAAAAAGAAAAAACTTAAAACAAAACATAAAAAATTTTTTATCATTATAACTACTTATAAAACTTTTTTTTTATTGATTATTGATTTACGTCAAACGTTTTTTGTTTATTATTTTTCCCTTTTACAACATTTTTATGATAAAAAAAATTTTTTTTTTGTTTTCTGGTTGTTGTTGTTGTTGTTGTAACAAACGATTGTTACCAAGCACATATTTTAAAAAAAAACAAAATTTTTAAACGATTATTGTTGTTGTTACCGTCAAATTTTTTTAAATAATTTATATTTAATTTTCTACAACAAACGATATCAGCCATTTTTATCCAGACAATTCCAAGTAATAATTATTATTATTATACTTTTTCCATCTTCTCTACGGTAAAATTAATGTAAAAAAAAAACGACAAAAACTCCTTTCGACGCATCTAACGTATCTAATATATTATGATAAATTATAAATTAATTTTTATAAAATTATATTCCGTTAAAAATTTATCCGTCATTTCCGGTTTTAAACTATTCAAAGCTCTCCTGTGTATTTCGTGGACTTTTGTTACGTCACCTTTAACCAATTCCCATTTTATACTATCTAACCAAACACCTGCGATGCAAAAAAAATTTTTTTTAAATTTCGAATAAATACGATTTGACATTTTTTTATAAAATTCTCTCGAGTTAAAAAAAATTTCTCTTACTCGGATTATCCCGTCCGAAATATAAACAAGCCAAATCGTGACATTTTCTTATGTGACTCGATGAAAAATTTTTTTCATCCGATTCTAAATCGCACATTGTTTTATAAAGTTTCAAACATGGAGGATGTTGAAATTCGGCGGCTTGGAATATTTTTCTCCCCTCTTCGATACCTTTCTTTTCCACCACCCATTTCAAATAAAGAGGTTTTAAATATGTCGATACTTGACCACCCATACCGATTCCTTCCATGAAAATTTCCTCAGTTTTATGTGACTCGCTCAATTTTAAATATTCAATCATCTGAAATTTGAGGGTGAAAATGTAAATAAAATTTTTTTTAATAAAAACGAAACGTTAACTAATTCATTTCTTACCAATTCCCACAGGGAAACTTCTTCCGGTAAATATTTAATTGCTTTTTTAAAAACTTTTTCCCCTTTTTCCTCGTCATTCTTGCAGAGAGTAAATCTTAAATATTCAAACCATAGAGTAAGACTTTTGGGATGTTTTTCGACACCATTTAAATACACTTCTTCCAATTCATCGCATTCTCTGTTAAATTTTTTCATAATTTCTATCCATTTCATGAAATTTTCTTCGCTTACTTTGTTCACTTCCAAACCATCTGAATTTGTATCAGATAAATTATTATTAAAATTTTATAAGAGAAAATAAATGAAGCAAATTTAAAATTCTCACCTTTCATTCCTTCTATAAATATTTTGTATGTGAAATCACGCAACTCTGAATTCAAATAATTTGCATTACATATTTTATGTAAATGACTCAAATAATATTCCCACATTTTATCTGTGTTTAATTTTTTCAACGATTCTTTGTAAATTTCCAAAACTCTTTCGATTCTGTTTTTTAATGATTCCGTCTCTTTGTCCTCAGATTCCTCAATCTCTTCCCCATCATCATCTTTTCCAATTAAAACTTTCCAATTGCATTTTTTACCTAAATATTCTTTTTTGGCAATTGTGTACCATGTTAATTCTTCAAAAGGATGATTTTGTATTAAGGATCTGGATTGAAAACAAAAAAAATTCAAAAATTAAGCAGGAAGTAGTTAAAAATTTGAAATCGACAGGTTAATGCTTTGTCATCACTTACTGTAATATCATATCCTCTATGTTTGATACACCTTTACAAAGTTTTAATAATTTCACTTTAAAATCTATATTTTCAATGGCTTTAACTGCTGTATTAAAAACAATTTCAACTATTTTTCCATTGATTATATTTTCAGTTATTTCATTCGGTTGATAATCATCATTTTTTAATTTGATTTCTTTTATTTTTATCTGATTTGTCATGTGCATTAATTCTAATTTGAATAATTCCATATAAAGGAGTTCAGAGGATGGATGATGCCTGAAATAGATATTAAATGTGCCATTTTAAAAATTGCATCAAATTTTGTTTAAAATGACAAAAAAAATTATTATATAATTTACCTTAAACCTTTTGTGAGAAAATTTCTAGCATTTTCAAAAGAGTTTGAATGCTCCAATTCCCAATCTGATGCATATATCCATAATTCTTCATTATTAGAATGAATTTGCAACATTTTAGTTAACATTTTACTCGCTACGGAATGTTTTTTAGCATCTTTACAAAATTTAAATAACGACATCCAAAGTTTTATATCGCTGGGATGTCGAAAAATCACTTGTTTGAATAGTTTAATAATTCTATTGACAATTTGACTCTCTATGCTTTTTTCCCCTGTTTTAATACCTGATTTCTAAACAAATTAATTTTAATAAATATTTTATGAATGATAGTAAAAGTAATTCACATATCAAATATTTACTTTTCGTCTTGCAGTTATTATTTTTAACAAATCAACTTCATATTGAATATATTTAAGATAATCCTCCTTGGATTTTTTCCTTCTTTCTATTTTATATTCAAGCTCTCTTCTTTTAGTGACTAATGATCTATAATCAATTAAAAAAAAAAAAAAGAGAAATCAGTTTTCATAAAATTAAACTTAAAATGTGAAAAGTTACCATGTTTACAACTTTATATATGAAACAATTTCTTCATTTAAAAGTTAAAAAAAAAAAAAAAAAGGCAACTGACTTGATTTCATGTGGTTCGAATAAATTTAATTTTTTCATAACATCAACTTCTCCAACCCATTCTTCGCATCTAAATTCAACGAATTCTGCCATTTCGATAAAAAGAAAAAATCGTTTTTTCACATGTATTCAAATACCATTGACCATGCGGAATCCAATTGTCACCGCCTTTTTGAATTTGTCGTTTTATTCAACAAGTAAATAAAACCTATTTAAAAGTTCAAATTTATATTATATACTACATTTTTATGAAAATAAAATTTAATCAAATGAACTTTTTATGTTTGCTCAACGATTTAAAAAAAAATAAAATCAATTATTAGAAAATAAATAAATAAATAAAATTAAATAACAATATAATAAATCAATTAGGTTTTATCCATTGAAGGTTAATGTCAGATAATGAATTCATGGTTTGGATAAAGAATAAACAATTAGACATTGATTGATTAGGTCGGCATGATGAGAAAACTAAATGTTCTATTCATTTTTATTACATTAAAAAAAGAATTAAATTAAAAATCCATTTACTTATTTTATTATTAAATTAATAATAATAATAATAATTTTATTTATCCCTTTATAAAAATTCTAAGAAAGAAAAGTTTTTTTAAGAAAAAACAAATTAAGAATTTTTAAAAAAATGAAAAATTAATTTAATAACCAAAATTTGTAATCGTTTGTCGTTATTTTAAATAATAAAATCTTACAAATGTAGATCCAGAACAGTTACCATCTATGACAGAATCAGATGTCATAGAGAATGTATACGCTTGTAAATATACTCGACAAGAATAGATTTATGTAACGGTCACCAATAAGTATTATTGAACAAAGTATTAAAAATATATATTTAATAATAATTTTTAACAGAAAAAACAATTTTTTTTTACCGTTTTTAAAATGTCGGACGATACGACCACTTGGTTAAAAAAAAATCCTGTTAATAATCCATTAAGAAGAAGTTTAAAAACTTCATTGCGTTTTCATGTCAATACATCAGAAATGGATGGTAGCATTATATCAAATAAAGACAATTTTAAAAATCCACAAGTTTTTATTCCACGAATGCTTCGTAAGAATCAAATTATTTTATTATTATTTATTTAAATTTATTTTTTTAGTTTTGAATTTATAAACTTCATTTATGTAATTTTCAGTATTTGTTACAATTACAATGCAGTTCCTCAAGACTCATGCTTTACACCATAGCTAATAACATTTTACAAATAATTTATCACACCGATTGATACTTAAAACTAAATGTGATTTCGATATGCTCTGAAAATAAATTCTTAAAATTGTTTTGCTTAAAATTTAGCAAATGTGTGCATATAATACCAAGCCTAATATAATTATTAAAACTGTCTTTACTTGATACATAATTTTTTATTATTTATTTTCAGAAAGACCAAGTTTTCATTCGAAAAAAATAATTGGAGGTGAATTTAAAGTTCCGAGTAATAATTCGATTGAAAAAAAAAGTGTAACAAAATCAAATTCGAAAGTAGGGAAAACTTTTGAATTGAGAAAATCATTTTTACCAGTGAGTTAAATTTACATACCTGTACATTAACACATCATGAATTGTTTTAATTTTTCTTGTTTGTTCAGGTATGTAAAGGAAAAATACAATCGAATGAAAACCACAACAACACGAGAAGTGACATCATTCCGAGAGGTAGTTTTTTACCTAAAAACTCTGCAAAAAGAAACACTACAAAAAGAGAATTGATTCAAAAAATTGTTGAAGCTAGTAGAAATGCAAATGTTGACAGTCAACAAAAAATTTTAACAGAATTACCAGATGAAAATTCAGTTATACGTAGTATATTGAAAAAAAAAAGAAATTCATTAATTCGTAAAAGTTTACAAGGTTCGAAAGAAAAGAAAAAAATAAAAGGTGCAAAAAAAGTTTTGTTCCAAGGTTTCCACGATGATGACAACACCAGCAGATTATTAAATAAAGAAAATGAAAATAGTTTATCGATGATACAAAATCAATCGGATGATTCCGAATTCATATCATTGGATGAGCCAACGGTTTTTTTAAATTTTCCCAAATCCAGTAGTTCGCCTAAGACAAACGTTATTAAAATGGAACATGAATTATTACAATTGAATGATTCGAATTTGTCAAAAGAAAATTCCAATTCCATTAAAAACAAATTAATAAATATTTTCAACGATTATTCTAATAATTTAAACGATATCGAAACTATGAGAAATTCATTGGAAAATTCATTTGGAATTTACGTAGAACAAAGTTTAAAATTTCACACGGAATTAATGAATTATATGGACGTTAAAAAGGAAACGTATGAAAAATTGAAAAAATTACGAAACGATATGGAAAAAAATATTAAATGTTTATTTCCACAAGAATCAATGAATTTAAATTTAAAATCCTGTCATGTTGATGCTAATGATGATGATAATAATTCACTTATTAATTGTGATTTGAAAAAAAAAGAAAAACGTTACGATAAAATAAAAATGTCGGATAAATCGAAAATGATAAAAAAAAATCAAGGATGTAAAACGAATAATAATAGTACGACTAAATACAAATTAGGACTTTACATGGAAAAAGATAATAATAATATTATATTTGGTGAAAAAAATAATTTTTCAATAATAAAAGAAAATTAATCAATCAATCAATCGAACTCATCGTTTTATATGTATTATTATTATTATTATTATTATTATTATTACGTATTGATTAAGTTTTTTTTTTTTTTTTATTGTTTTTAATCATCATTATTATTTTTCATTTAATCTAATTGAACTAATTTTTGTAAACTTTTTTTTTTAAATGTATTTTATCAATAATTATTTAATGTGCTTTAAAGTTATTATTATTATTATTATTATTAAATTATTTTGACGATATACGGTTTTTGTATTGTTTTTTTTTTAATAATATTATTATTATCATTAGATTTAGGAAAGAAAAAAAAAAAAGAGAAATTGCACGTTTGGTTAACGTTAAATAATAATAATAATTTAATTTATCGAAATCTTTTACTAAAACAAGAAATTTTCCTCCATCCCCCCTTTCCCTTTCCTTCCTTCCTTTTTCCTCCCCCCCGTAATAAAACTTAAGTAATCCAAAATGTTTTTATAAAGAGAGAGAGAGAGAGAGAGAGAGAGAGAGAAAAGGAAAATTTTTCAATCTTTTTGTATATTTTCATTATAAATAAAAATAAATTTAAAAAAAGAAAAATTACGCTTGTTTTGGTTTTTGGTTATTTTTTAATCTGATTAATTATCGGTCAAATTTCATTAAAAATTATTATTATTATTATTATTATTATTATTATTATTATTATTATTATTATCATTATTATTATTATTATCACGTTAATTAAAATAATTAAAATAATTTATAGATGAGATCTAGAAAAGTAAAAAAAAAAAAATTAAAAATAATCATTTTGTATAATTAAACATTTCTTAATTTTTTTTAGTTTGTTGTTATCGCAAAACGACAAGTTTCCCCCCACCCCCACCCCCACCCCAAAAAAAAAAGAAACTTTAATTACATTTTTCTCATAAGAAATTCGCTTGTGATAATAATAATAATAATAATAATAATAATAATAATAATAATAATAATAATAATAATATTCTTATCAGAGAGAATGAGAAAAAAAATTAATTTCTTTCGAAATTTATCATTAGAAAAATAATTTGAAATAAAGACAATATACTTGTAAAGTAACTTAATTATTTAATAATAATAATAATAATAGTAATAGTAATTCAGACGAAAAAAATATAAAAAAAAAAGTAAAAAATACCAATAGATAAATTTATGTAAATGATATTTGTAAATTTATTATTATCATTATTATTATTATTATTATTTTATTTTTTTTTTTTTATTAAAATGAATACGAACGAACGTCACAATAAGAGAGAGAGAGAGACAGAGAGAGAGAATATGATAAATTTAACATTAGATAAAAAAAAATTTTATCCCGAATTTACCCGGAAGGGTATTTAAAATAAATTTTTTATAATAAGGAAAGGAAAGAAAGAAATTTTTTGAATAAAAACATTATTATTATTATTATGAAAATGAAAAAAAAAAAATTAATAAAAGTCAAATAGAAAGAAAGTTCTAGAAAGTAAGTAGAGAGGGATGGTAAGTTTTTAAACTTAAAAAAAACAAACGAGAGAGAGAGAGAGAGAGAGAGAGAGAGAGAGAGAGAGAGAGAGAGAGAGAGAGAGAGAGAGAGAGAGAGAGAGAGAGAGAGAGAGAGAGAGAGAGAGATAGAGAGAGAGAGAGGAAGAGAGAGAAAGAGAGAGAGAGAGACAGAAAGAGACAGAGAGAGAGAGAGATAGAGGAAAAAATTATTATAATTTTTTACCTGAAAATACTAAAATATTTTTAAAAAATTCGAAACCCCCGTTTTTCGTTTGATTTTTCATTATTATTATTATTAATATCATCATCATCATCATCATTATTATCTAAATCCCGATTGCGTAATTATCATCATCATCATCGATAATTTAATAAAAATAATTTTGTGAAAAATTAAAATAAAAAATAAAATATATACAGGGGAGAATTTATTTTGTTTCGTAAAAAAAATCGATATATCGATCGATCAATCGATATATATCGAAATTATTATTTGTTTTTATTTCCTTGTAATTCAAAATGGCGTCTCCTATTATAACACGATAGTAATAGTAATAGACGTTAAATAAAGCATAAGTTTTCTTGTTTTTTTTTTTAATTTTTTAAAGTAAGAATAAAAAAAAAAAGGAAAAAAATTAGCGGATTAAATCATTAGTAGAAATAAAATGAAATAAAAAAAAGAAAAAGAAAAAAAAGTTTTTATTTCTTAGATAAAAAAGAAAAAAAAGTGTAAATAGATAAAAAGAATAAGAGAAATAAATAAAACGAATGAAAGAAAAGAGAAAAAAGGAGAAGAAAAAGGCGTCTAGATAAACTTAAAAGAATTGATTTGTTTTTTCATTAATTTAAATGTTAAATATTTTCCATGAGGGACGAACCGGCTACCCCCCCACCCCCCGGTGGGGGTAGCGGGTAAGGGATAGGGGGTGAGAGTGTGGGGGCGGGGGGTAAAGGGAATTTCATAATTCGAAAATTTTTTTTTATTATAATTTTTCACATTAAATAAATAACCGAAAATGTTATTATTATTATAATTTCTTCTTACCTTATTATGTTTCCTTTTTCTTTTTCTCATCATTTAACGATTTCTTTGTTGTTTGTTCTTTTCGAATAATAATAATAATAATAATTTTTCTTTTCTTTAAATTGACTTTTAAGGGAAATGATACATACGAAAGGGAAAAAAAAAAAAAATTGTTTTTTTTTTTTTTTCTTTCCTCCGTTCCGAATTTCCCTCGAGCAAATGCTTCGACTTTCTCTCTCTCTCTCTTTCTCTCCTTTTTCTGAAAAAGAAAAAATTTTTTTTTTTTATAATCGTTTTCTTTTGAAAATGATGAAAATTTTATATCATCATTGACTTTGCCATTTGAGAATTCAACATTTCGAATTCAACAATGATCGTTTCTCAAAAAAAAAAAAAAAAAAAAAAAAAAATTTTTTTTTTTTTATTCACTTGGATCGTAAATAAGTTCCCCCGGGGTCGTAACATCTTATTTCAGGGTTTTGACGAATGATTACGTATATATAAAAACATGTAGTAAAATTAAAAAGTGGTTAAAATAAAATAAAAAAAAATTAAAATAAATGATTTTTATGTATACAAAACGTTTCGATTCGTCGCTCCTGAAAAAATAAATAAAAAACCCGCGAAATTTTATTTATTGTTTATTATTATTATTATTATTATTTTACGATACGTAACAAAAAAAATAAAAAATTTAAATTTAAAATTTTTACGACGTCACAAATTTTAACTTTCCCTCTTCCTCCTCTTCTCCTGTTTTTTTTTTTTTTTTTTAATTCGTGACGTAATGTAAAATGCGTCACGTGGATAATTAATTTCTCTCTCTCTCTCTCTCTCTCTCTTATCACAATCTTAATACGGTCCTGCTTATTTAATTTCACCGGAGAAGAAGAAGAAGAAGAAGAAAAAGAGAAGAAAGAAAAAAAAAGAAAATTTCTTTGATCTACCACCACCATTCATTTTAATCCCCACCTCTTTTCTCTCATGTTCACCCCCCCTTTTCTTTTTAAATTTTATTTCCCTCACCTCCCCCTTTCTCCTCGTGTTAATTATTCTACATGAATGATAATAATTACCTTATCTAAGACCTAAGAAAAAGGGGGGGTAATCAATGAGGAGGTTTGAATTCTTATCTCGAGGAGGATAAGAAAGAAGAAGAACATCAAGGAGAAAAGAAAATAAGTAACAGGGGAGTAAGAAACAAAAAAAAAAAAAAAAAAAAAAAACTTGAAAGAAACAAATTCTAGGAGAAATAAAATAGGGGAGGAAAGAATAAAAAAAAAAAAAAAAGTAGAGGGGAGACATGAAGGGCGCGCTGCGGGTCTTCCGAAGCTTCATCCATGTGTATATAAACAAACGGCGGATCCTGCGTGTTCCACATTCAAACTTTCGGGGGCGAATTCCGCGGGTTTTTTTTTTAAAACAACAAACGCCGGTTCTGTCATCAACAACAATTCATCGGGGGGCACCGACGACATTCGTTTTTTTTTCTCACATAAATAATAATATTTAATACAATAAAAAAAAAAAAAAAAAATTATAATTTTCATACAAGTTTTAAACGTAGAGTGACGTCAAAAGTTCGACAGGTTTCTTCTTACACGAAAAACCAACAAGAAAATTTTTTTTTTTAAAAGAAATTTTTCCTGCATTTTAAATACGCGTAAGTATTACATAATTATTATTATTTATTTTTTATAAATTTTATTTGTTAATAATTTTTTGTTTCGTGTTATTTTTCCCTTAAAAAAAAAAAATGAAAAATTCACACGTGGGCACAAAAAAAATTTTAACAATAAAAAAAAATTTTTTAAATGTCATTCGTAAAATAAAAATACGCTTTGTAATTTTTTTTTCTTTTTTTTTTCTAATAAAAATATGATTGGGTCGAATGATTCGAGAAATATAATCGATCGATCTATCGATCAAAATCGAGATTTATATTAATAGTATATATCGTTATTCACACGAGGGAAAAAAAAAAAAATCTTTTTAATGTTTTTTTTTGTTTTGTTTTTTTTTTCGTCCTCTCTAAAAAAAAAATTATTAAATAAAAAAAAGCAAAAAAGGAAAAAAGGAAAATTTTTTTTAGTTTTCGTTTCCCGAATTTTTTTTTCTTTTCCTTTTTTTTTCTTTCCGGTTGTTGATTTCGTGTCAAATAATTAAAGCAAAAAAAAAAAAAAAACAACAAAAAAAATCCATTTTGATTTCAAATTAATATAAATAATAATAATAATTATTTTGTTATTAATTTTTAAAAACCTCGTAAACGAATTATTAAAGTATATTTCGTTGGAAAAATATTTTTTTTTCTATCTCGTATTTATAAATAAATTATTAAAATAAATCAGCGTAAATTAATTTAATTATTAAATAAATCAATTCGACGATAATTATTCAATTATTTAATTATTACGCATTCGAATAAAATAAAAAATAAAAATTATTATTATTATTATTTTCGTCGCCGTC